AAATCCTTCACACTAAAATCAGGAACAAGACAAGGATGTCCACTATCACCACTCTTGTTCAGTATAGTTTTGGAAACATTAGCCACAGCAATTAGACGAGAGAAAGAAATAAAAGGAATAAAGGTAGGAAATGAAGAAGTCAAACTGTCATTATTTGCAAATAACATGATACTCTACATAAAAGACCCCAAGAACTCCACCAAAAGTCTTCTAGACTTAATAACCAAATTCAATAAAGTAGCTGTATACAAGGTCAACACACAGAAATCAATAACTTTCCTCTACACAAATGACAGACTCACTGAGAGAGAAATAGGGCAAACAATTCCTTTCAAAATAGCATCCAAAAAACTGAAATACCTAGGAATCCATCTAACAAAAGAAATCAAAGACCTCTTCTCTGAAAACTGTAGCACTCTGAAAAGAGAGATTGAAGAGGATATCAGAAAATGGAAAGACATCCCTTGCTTCTGGGTAGGAAGGATCAACATAGTGAAAATAGCCATACTTCCAAAATTGCTATATAGATTCAATGCAATCTCAATTGAAATTCAGCAGCATACCTCACAGACCTTGAGAAAACAATCCAAAAATTCATTTGGAACAAGAGGAGACCTAGAAAAGCAAAAGCAATTCTAGCCAACAGAGACATGGCAAGGGATATCACAACCCCTAACTTGAAACTATACTACAAGCTACTGTAATCAAAACAGCATGGTACTGGCAAATAAACAGACCTGAGGACCAGTGGAACAGATTAGAAGATGCAGAAACAACTCCAGACACACTTCAGCCACCTCATCTTTGACAAAGGAGCCAAACACCCTCACTGGAGGAAAGATAGCCTCTTTAATAAATGGTGCTGGAAAAAATTGGGTTTCAACTTGCCAAAGATTAAAACTAGACCTATATCTCTCTCCATGCGCTAAACTAAAATCAAAATGGATTAAAGATCTAAATATGAAATAGAAACGCTGAACCAGCTGAAACAGAGGCTAGGTAGAACTCTTGAAGACATTGTTGTAGGAAAAGATTTTATTAACAAAACCTCAGTTGCCC